CGGCGTTTATCCAACCTATCATTTGGGGGGAGGGCATCAAATATTTTTGTTAAATAATTGGTACTATACTATATTATTGTTTAAATAAGTACATAACTCTAACATAAATAAATATTTAAATCAATTTTGACAAATAAAGGACGGTAACAAACGAAGACTCTAGGCCTATTGAGGGGAGGCATGGCCCCCAAGCCCCCTCCCTCCTGGATCCGCCATTGGCCGGAGGTCATTTGAGAATCCTGAAAAGCGCGTTGCAGTTTCCAAACTTCGGTCGCCGCAGACACAGCAGCACAGGGCCGATGCAAGAAACCAATCGCGCAGCAGAGAAGCCCAATGACTCACACGTGAAGAACATTCGGTCAGCGGTTGACGCGGAGACTGTTTGCAGCGCATTCGGAGGGAGAAGGATAGACCGCAGAATGAAGAAATGCCTAATCTTAATTAAAAATTGGATCGTCATGTAGACAAATAATAATATATTTATTATTATATAAATTAATATAATTATTCTATCTATAATTATTATATTATATAATTAATAAAATATTAGAATAATTATTACATAATATAATTATTCACATTTAACCAATTTATCCGGATTCACCGAAACAAGATTGTTGTCGGAGAAAATTGAAAATCAGTTTCGCAATATTTAAGAACCATTAATTATTTTTAGAATTATTAAAGTCTACCAGAGGCGCACGCTGGATTTTTCTCGAGTATTGGGGGGGGGGGAGTTGGAGATATAGTGTTTAGCGGAGTGATGTTTTGTTAGAAAAAATGTTTCATTTACGATGACTACAAAATGTTTCTTTATTTGTTAATTGTCAATTAATATTTTCAACATAATACATTAATAACATATTGAATGAATTTTGTTAATAAAGAAAATGAAAATTTGTTGAATACTAATACTGAGGCGAGGAAACGTTTATGTATGAGCGCATTCCCACTAGTTTGATATGGTTGGAATGCAAATAAATGTACTGAATTCACACACTACTATGTTATTCGCGAAGCCATTTTGAAAAAATATTTTATTTAATTGTAGTTCTGTCTGTCCTTGCTCAACGGCTTTTGAAGAGGCTAGAGTCTACCAGCAGCGACTCGGCCTTGAGGCCATGGGCTAAGGGGTACGTGTGGTTAGCACACAGGCATCCCTACGCCGTATTCTAGCCTTCCTAAACTCAGAAGTCATATAGCAACAGACACTAGAACATTCCAAGGAAAACGCACACTATAATCCGCCACGACCGAGAATCGAACCCTAGATTGGGTGACTAGTGAGCTACCCGTGAGGCTCAATTGTAGTTCTACACGAGTCTATTTTTTTTTGTTGTTCTTGAGCAGTGTATGCTACATTTTTGAAAACCGTGCAATGCGGTTTTGCTCAGTAACATTTTTGCTTATGCAGGCCACTAGTTGTATTTCTGTAAGTGTCCTGTAAAATACATGAAATCAACAATAAATTCCCCAACTTTGAATCAAGGAAATACAAAAATATATTAAATAGAAATACTAAATTCAAGAGCAAAAGTAAAAATATTTCAAAGAGGTTGGTCGTTGTCGGAGATTAGAAGTCGGAAGGTTGTGTGAAATTAAGATTAAAAAATAAAATGAAAAAATTGGGAAAGTTAATTTACCAATCTCTTGTAATTGTAGAAGTAAGAAAGTGTAACTACTTTTTAATCGAACAAAAGCGGTAATGGATGCAATGTATGTATTCTATTTGTACTATTACGTGATGAAATATCAGTCATAAATTATAATATTTATTATGAAATTCAAATTGTATAAAAGAAGAGTTACAAACTACGTATACCATGCATATATTTGAATTAAGTGAAAATGCCCTTATGCACATTTAGAATATAGTTAAATATTGATTTCCTGTGAGTGACTTAATAAACTGTCATCTTTTTTTCTGTCGATCGCATTTTCCCCTGATTTCTCCTCATTATCTTTTACTCACAAAGTCCTTGTCATCACATTTTGACAAACACTTCTCAATTTCCGAGTGAAATTTGTGTTGAGCAGAAAGGTTCGCAGTACATTAGAATTATTATCGTAATCATTTTCGTTTTCATCACGCTTTAACGTTGACGCTGAACCACAGAAAACAAACGGGACTGTCGCGTTGAAATTCTGTCTGAGAGAATGTGTCACTATTGTGCTGTGTACCCGCTTTCATGGACACGCGACAAAATAAGTTCCAAACGTCGCTCATGAGCTGTAATACTGGCACAACTCGAAAATTGGAGTTGGGGGACAAATATGTTGGAAGTTTTCGCAGTCGTCGAAGTAAAGTCACCACACGCCTGACAAATAATTTATGGTTTTTGGAGTAACCTTTATTAAAATATTTAAGTGTATAGACGTTTCTAAATAAATAATTTCCCCATTGAAGCTATGAAAGAGAAACATATAGCTTTAAAGGCTTTCACAGCTAGAGTCAATATCAAAAGGACTGAGAGACCCCGCCGCCTCATCGTAGTAGTAGACGAAACGTTTAGCACAGCAACGCCACCTGGACCTCCGCCTATCAGGCTGGAAACCCTCATTGGCAACACTGATGGGAACAACATACTCTTAAATAATTTTGATACAAAAAAAATCAATATTATTTTCAACTACAAAACAAAAACGTGGCAACCTGTCTTTGTAAACCAATTCATATATCGTTAACACAACTCCAAATCACTTCCGCCGTCCTATGAAACGAAACAAGTGTCTATATTGCACGGTTCTCCTGCATGCCGTGGCATCATGTAATGTAAGAATTAAAACTGACTGATGCATTGAATAAATGCCTACAGAACTCACCCCAATCAGAATTAATAATGTTCTTTGTATCGCAAAGCTCTGATAAGGAAAGTATAGTATTTTTGGAAAAGTCGGCATACTTAAATTCTTTTATTATTCAACCTAGTTCCTTGAGCAAATCCTATGATCTTAACATCCTTCGGTGTTTCGTAACATGATCCGTAATATTCTGATCAAAAGAAAGCTGTGAATCTTTCTGCAACCCTTCTAAAATGTTTCATAAAAAAGTTTAAATAAAAAATATTATATTTTTTAAATTATTATAAAATGGAATAAATAACTGTGATAAGAATAGAAAAGTACAGTCTGTAATCTGGAAGATCAGAACAAGTCACATACGACTAGCACATAGAACACTTCATAGACAAAACCACACTAAACCTACATTTATCTTGTGACCCAAGTCTACTTGTGTAACTAATCTTTTATTTATTTATTTTTTAATTTATTTCCTCCTGTTCGGCATTACTGCCTTTTAGGCATGTTTACATTTTACAAAATAACGCTTTGACATGTAATCTTTTATGATTGTAAAAACTGCAGCCAACAGAGATTAGTGTATCTATGTGAAGAATACTTCAACACTGTACTACATTCATCAAGTTCTCAAAAGGTCATTGAATTTTGTTAAAACATTAAATAAAATTCAACCGAACATTCTAGTTTAATACTTTATGTCTTACACATCCAGATTGTAAAAAGATATACATTATTCTGCAATAATAATGTAAAAGTGTAATAATTTTAAAATCTAAATGCACAATGTAAGGTGTATGTGTTACCTTAGGGAAGTATCTCAAGACCATGATGCTTACACAATAATAATAATAATAATAATAATAATAATAATAATAATAATAATAATCATAAGTGAGGCTACAACAACACGTACTTTCTCGCACGTACTTTTTCTGGAGTCCTGCGTACGTATTTATGATTATCCCTTCACTCCTAGACATCATCATCATCATCATCATCCTATCACCTCATAATTTATAATTCAAGGCGTAACAGCCTTGCTCTAACAAAAGATTCAGCCAAAAAGCTGAACCTTAGAATCACAGATGTTAATCTCTTCCCTGAATAAAATACGACTGAGTCTCTGAAGAAAACCTGTAGCTTGGTCGATATGCAAATAATAATAAATAAATAAATAAATAAATAATAATAATAATAATAATAATAATAATAATAATAATAATAATAATAATAATAATAATAACACAATGAATTAATTGAAAATTGTCACAGGCGTCTAGGATGGCTCATGGACAGCGTACTAGCTTCACGTGGTTTGGTCCCGTGTTCGATTCCCTGTCGAAGCAAAAACAGATTTTCTTTCAAATCATCGGCGTTTCTGCAGCTGCGTGCTTAGGCAGGCGAAGTTTGCTAGTTATCGAAACACGACGTAAATAATAACGTCGTATGCGTCTCTCTTATCCCCCAAGTGTGGGAATTAAACTAGGCGCAAACAGACACCATCGGCTAGTCGGTCAACCCGAACTACCAAAATACTACCCGAAATACCAATTACACACTCACACAAACGGCGACACTCGAGCGTGTGGGAGCGGCGGCTCTTGCGCACTGACCTGTCGCGAGGAGCAGCAGCGCCGCGAGGGCCTGGGCGAGAGCGGGCGCGGGCGCGGGCGCGGCCGGGAGGCGCCGGTGGCCGTGCTGCTTGGGCGGCATCCCGCAGAGCACTGGGCAGCGCGTGTCTTGGGCCGCGCCGGGGCGCCGGCCGCACCCCCAGTGCGCAAGCCCCACGCCGCCGGCAACACTTCCACTCGGCGGACAGCGACAATGGAGTCGAGGTACACAACAGACGGGTTTTTAATAAACGCGGTTTATCGTCCAGTGCGAGACAGCTCAATTTAACGTTCTGAGAGGACGCGAGGGGTGTGCGAAACGTCTGTAACGTTTCTCACTTTAATTTTGTCTCGACGATATGTTTGTTTATGATTTACTCATTTGGATAGCGACACTCGTCTACATGAAGTTGCACATCATATGTGCTATGTGTCTTATAGACAAAATGCTCTTCGTAAATGGCTTACCCTAAAAATATCAAGGATATATACTAAATATACGCAATTGTCGACATGTCCGTGTGTCCAAAATTTATTTTCGTTTGCCACGGCACAGAAATAGATTTTCAAGCAGCAGCGTGTAATCGTATGGGTCTCCGGATAATGAAGATGTCGCAATGATCATCCAGGCTACTTTATAATCTGAAGGCAAAAAAATTATACTCTGAATAATATTCCGATTAATGTGTGTTCTTGTTTCCCTTAATATGATTTTCGTCCGAAATTGTTTTTGCGTGGCTGGGAAAACCCATTCAAACGAGGGAGATGTTCGTGGAGTGATGTGTTTGTGTCCTCTGTCCTCCAGGCGAATAACATTTCCGTCTTCGAATTTCTAAGCACCGGGTCACGTACACGAAATAATTAATGTCTCAAGTTACCAAAGACTTTTTCCGTTGGTGCTGATTTGGTTTGTAGGATTTTCAGTGCAATCGCTTTCAACTGTCGTCAGAGTAACGAAGTCGCTGCTGACCGCGTGCGGAGTGGAAACGGGTGCATGGAGGGGGAAGAAGGGAGGGTGGAGCTACCACAACGCCCTCTGCATCCAGCTCGGTGCATTAGTCTGAACTCCAGCGTAGACCCCGCCTCTCGCAACGCTGCCACTTCCAAACAAAACAAAGTGGAGATGCGCAGCCACTTCAGAGAGACATACGAAAGCTCTGAAATTCAATTCAAAGTTTTTACTTTCTCGCCCTTACGAATGTAAGAAGAGAAAGTATTGAATTCGTGCGCTGGAAAACAGCGAAATTTCGACTGCAAAACTCTTATTGTCGGGCCCTGGAAAAGCAAAAGTGGATAAATTATATTCCTAAGTATCTGATATTTCATCAACTGTGGGCTATCCTCATCTTGTAAACGGTATCGAAATGCAGTTTTTCCTCAATAATGCGGAATCAAGGGAAAATTAATATGCTGTACAGATATTGTTCATAATATTTTTAGTTGTCGAGAAATTTAATTATCTCCGATTTTTTTAATGGAACTCTATATTTTTCTCTCTAGTAATGAATAGATCATAAAAAGAATACATTGATGAATCATGAGTTAATGTTTCAGAGTGACATGAGTCAGTAGTTTGGTCTTAAACTACGCATTTGGGGAAGGTGGCCTTCGCGGCGCCGAGGCTTCGCGGCGCCGGGTGGCGGCACCGCATAGCGAAGGCAGTTGCAAGGGCTACTAATTGAAATTTTGCCAGTTTAATTCAAAATCACAAGTCAGAAAGTATTTTTATACTCAAATTTCTATCAAAATACTAACATACTAGTTGAATGTGGCGATGCCGACGATGAAAACTGTTTTGGAAGTATTTTCATGGTATGAAATAATTTTTTTGACTTCATTGCTTTCATGCGTAGCATGATTCAAATATGTTCTTACAGTACCTGGCACTGCACTTACCAATTAATCGTAGTAGTTGAAAATGATATACTCTCCTTCAAACATTACCAACATTCAATGGCCTTGTATGTTATCTCCACAAGGGATATGAATTGATAACATTGCAATTAAAATTTTTTAATCGCCGTTAAAAATATTTGAAGGTATGGATGATGCGAATAGTTAGTTTAGTACAGCTACATTTTTACTTTTTTTGCTAATATGCACAATAATGCACAAAGATCACCTTTAAGCTGTTCTTCTGGGTAATTCTCTAATCCTAATACAAGATCATTCTCAATTAATTCCGAAAATTCTGTCACAAACTTTTCAACAAATACATGTGATTGTTCACCAGATTTGCTTAACACCTCCATTTTTTTCTTCTCTGTTTTTATGAAGATCGCATCAACAGCTATGTCATTAGCTACCAGTATAGATATCAACGATATGGGTAACACTGCTATGTGGTAGGGTGATGGTGAAGGCACGAACCATGCCAGAGAGGTGGTGAAGGGTGAAAAGACGAATCATACAATCATGCCCGAGGCGGGACTCGAAGCCGCCATCCTTCGGCCCGTCATCGCTTCGGCACAACTGCCTTAACGATCTCGGCCATCCGGGCGACCCCTAATTTTCGAAGAAATTAAATCTCCACAAACTCAGTCTAATTTGGGTTCACTTTCACTTCTACAATTGCTCTGTTAATAGTTTTGTTTGCGAATCTGTATAAACAATAAAAGGCGACTGTTTTTTATGTTTATGTTTATAAGGTGTTAGTTACGTTTAATAAGAATAAGTTGTGGGTTATATTCATTTGAAAATCGGTATTCGTACACCTAGGAATGTAAAAATGGAAGTCGGAGACAAGAACGTTCATTCATTGTCTAACATTACTCACAGTTTTGTTTTCTCCGAATTCCTTTAAAATTCTTCAAATTTAATAAGTTCCCAGGCAAAACTGTTCGTAGGTTTTTTTCAATTTTTTATTTTTTTTAAATATGGTAATATGCTTACGAATTAATATGAAATATGCGGCGCGATTTACTTATTGAAATTAACTTCACTTGTTCACTTAAAAATGTCAACATCAGTGTTGCCAACGTAGTGAAAGTAAATTTTGTCGTATTGAGTGAAAAATGCCTTTGAGTACTGGAGTTTAATCAACTCCACCTACATACAGTGTCTCGCAAAAGTATTCGACCAGTTCCCTTGTATGAAGAGAAGTGCTTGTGAACATTCACATAATTAAAACAGAGCACTTATACTTTTTATTTTATCACATTCGTATACGTAGAATACAATATTGTAAAACTACTATATTTCCACATTTAATCCATTTAACTTGACGTCAGTGCAACATATCTTCTCTTGCAAAAATATTCGACCAGTCAACCAAGAACCAATGAAAATGTATTTGACCACAATCATTTCCAAACCAATACTGAACAATTTTCTGTAGTTGTTGGTCTGACGTGCGCCAAACTTGAACTAATATCTTACAGCACTACAGGTCGTAAAAGTAAACAGTTGTGAGAAGACATGTGGTTGCTATGACTAGAGAATCGTTCAAATGGTGACACATTCAGTGTAAGTCAATTGTAAGTCAGTGTAAGTTCAGTAAAGTCAAAAAGGCTGTGTCCACCAGTTTTCAGGGAAAACTGGAAGTGAAGATATAGTAAGACGAACACCACATGGGTGGTTACCACGGCCGAGTAGCTAGGAGGAAACACTTCATCAGTTAGAATAAACACAGACATTTTGAATTTACTCAAGAATATTTACGGAAAGTTTCTGAGTACTGGCAAGACATTATTTTTTTCAGATGAAATTAAGTTTAACCTATTTGGTTCAGATGGCAGGCTCATTGTATGGAGGAAGGCTAATGAAGAGCTTCTTGAAAAAAGTATCTGTTGGACAGTGAAGAATGCTGGTGGTTCAATGATGGTGTGGGGGGTGTATCAACAAAAGAAGTAGGCAAATTGGATTTTGTGAAAAGTAATATGGACTAAGACCAATATCTGTAAGTTCTAAAGTGTAATCTACGAACAAGTACTGCTAATATGTGCATCCTTAACTCCTTTAAGATCTACCAAGATCTTACGTTTTTCGGGTCACAAGATAATGGCCCGAAGCACACAGCACTTCAAAACATATTATGGGTCCTCAACAACAGTCACAATGATATCCGGACACCTGCACAAAGTCCAGATCATATTGTAATAGAACATGTATGGCAAAAAATGGAAAACCGAATACAACACACAAAAAGAAGTATGAATATTTGACGCAAGCTCTGACAAGTGAGTAGTAAAAAATTGAACCAAGTGAAATAAAAACGTTGGTGGATTCAATCACCAAACGCTGGCAAAGTGTTAAAGAAGCTAAAGGACGAGAAACTAGATATTAGGTTTTAGTTCCGTTGTAATATTTATTCTTGATTTTGTTTATTTGGTCAAATACTTTTTCAGGACCACATTTCTTTGTACTGAAATAAATCCATGTATTTCACATTAAGATATTTTTAAAACCATGGTTGTGTACATGATTTTGTACTATATAAATGTGTAATAAAATGCGGAGCTTCTCTATTCTACAACGATGTTTCTGCATTTTATCACACATTCTGCGCTTATGAGAAGATCGGTCGAATACTTAAGTGGGCCACTGTAGATCTATTTACGTGGCGTAGGTTTAATTCGCGGCAAACTCACAAAGATCGCAGCGCCAAAACACGCAAAAACGCATTTTTTGGCATTTCTTTGAATCTTCTAGCCAGATCTGAAAACAAAGTATCAGTTCCATATTAGGAGACCAAGACAAGTCGACCTCGTACACGGTCTGTCTCGATTGGTACACGGAAAGTGGTCTAGCCGCGAGTGACGGAACCGCACATCCGAACATACGCACACTTGGAGTTTTACTCAGATACTGTGGAATGAAATATAATTGGATTCAACTCTTTAGATCTATCCATTGCAGAAAAATATATACTTTTTTAAAATGAAAGACGATTCATTTTCTCGAAAATTAAAAATATTCCAAACAATATCTGTACGTTATAAAAATTGCCACATAATCCCGCATAGTTGAGCTAAAACTGCATTTCGAATTTTAGATTTAGATTTATTTAGATTTATTCAGTCAAAAAAACAGTAAAAACTGTATATGACGTAGGGGGGAAAGATTATCTGCGCAGGTTTTCTAGAGTTCCAGAATCCCTTCCCGTCATTTTAACTATAAATAGTTGAAAGATGAGTAAAAGTTTAACATAAATAAATGAAAATAAATTTTAAAAATTGCTAGATTAGAAATATTAGAAAAATAGTCATTTTCGTTTCTGAGTTATAGAAAAGTTATTTCCATCGGTATACGAATTGCAAGTATTATTTTTCTGCAATGCTAACAAAATAGCAACTCGTCCTTACCTCTACTCTTACCTTTACAAGCAAAAGGAGAGTTCAACAAAACGTGCGCATAGTGAAACTACATTTACGCCCAGAAGCAAACCAAGAGGCCATCTCAGCATTTGCTCAATGGATCAGAGAAACTGGACAAAAACCTGATCGAGATGGGGATCATTGACCCGGAAGCTGAAGTACATTATTTGTTACAAACATATTAAGTATTTAAAAAAATATACAATACAAATGTTAACTAATTTATTAGATATCACTGTTTTGTTAAAATAAACATTATTTTTCTTTTTGATAATAAGTATAGTTTCTAATTGTATAGTAACAGTTATGCAGCAGAAAAGATTTTACTTTAAACTTAAATTTGCGAACCGACTTCAATTGTTTAATGTCATCTGGCACTGCGTAGTAAAGTAACGTACACTGCGTAGTAAAGTTACGTATGTGGATTTCTGATAGAGAGCTTTTGATACTGACACTTGATCAACGTGATTTTTATGACGTGTGTTGTAATTATAAATATCAGTATTGCATGAAAATGTGTTCCCACCGTTAAGTAAGTCACTTTTGACAAATATTACAGATTCGTAAATATATAGGCTAGGCAGGGGTAAGATTCCAAGGCCAATGAAGAGAGACTTGCAAGGGTACGCGGGTGGCATTTTTTCATTATTCGAATAATTTGCTTTTGCAATCTAAATGAGTACTACATGAGTTTCCCCAGAGTTTTATACCATATTTCAGGCAGGAATGTACATTTGCAAAATACACGCAACGAGCTGCATGAAGGCTGTCAGAATTTCATAGAATTCTGAATGCATAACATAATGAACTTAATTTAGTGTTTAATTTAGTTATACGTACATTGCATTGTAGGTTGGACTGAATTGACAGTCCTAGAAGTTTTGTTACCTGAACATCACCTAATTGTGACCTGTTTAGACGTTATGGGAGTGTCCCGTAGTTTGTGAGACGCCTGAATGGTAAATTACTTCCTGACACGTGGTGTAGTCAGAATCCATGTTTTGTGGGTCCTTGATACCGAAAACTCGGTTGACGACAAAACGTGTATGTATGTCCGTCTGCGGTCAATGCCAGTGCCTAAACCGTTCTGCTGATTTTTTCCAGAATTGATTCTCCGATTGATGTGAACGAACTCTAGGCTTTGTGAGTTTGAAACCGATTATTTGGTTTTTGAGGGCACTTTACAAGACTACAAAAGACATTTCTCTAAGTTTCTCAAAAATTACTCCAAGTGTTTTAAATCTTTATTTTTTTTAAATTTAAAGACATCTTGAAATAAGGTCACGTACAATTTTTCGAAAATATGAGTAAAGGTTTTGTAATTTTGACAGAAATATACGCAATTTTTAATTTTTTGTAAACAATTTTTTCTCAAAAAAAGTGTAAGTTTGTTTCTTTAAATTTTCTCCTTATATGTATCAAAGGACGGTAAAAAATATTGTGGTAGTCCCATTTTCGGCAAACTTTTGAAAAATCGTAAAAATGTAACATTTCATACCTATTTTTTTAAATAATTGATTTATTATTGCCCGATAATACTATACCTTTCCATGGGTTTAAGAAACTACAACAACAAATAGAGCTTATGAGGGAAAACTTACAAAGTAACCTCACAACATTCAACTGTAACACATAAGTTAGAATAATTATACATTTGAACAATAGATATTCGAAGAACATTTCAATGTAATAATAAATTATTCAGTTTATAAAATAATATCGTTTTTAGGGAAAAAAAGAAGAAATGATTATGGAAATTGTAATAAATCTTAAGCAAAACGTGAACGAATCCGCGGATAAGGATTAGGAGTGATAATCCGTGGATAAGGATTTATTGTGAGCAGGGCAAGCAGAGAGACTAAAAAAATTAGTAGAGAGTATATTAATCAAAATTTTTAAAGTAAAAATGTTTAGTTCTTCTAAAATTTGATTTTTTGGAATAAACTCCTGGGCTTTTAAAAACTCTTCTTAAGAACAACTTTGTATAACCGGTACGGGTTAATGTCAAACTATTGGCATGAATGAGTCACACATGAAAATGAATATGTATCTGAATGAGTCTGAATGTAAAATTTCTAAGGAAATGCACTAACATTTCAGCCCAAAACAATGTTTGGGCTCATGTAAGGAACGCTATTGCAGCGATGTTGCAGCGAAAATATACATTAACTCTTCATTTAATGGATCCCAACGTATTTAACTTTCAATTATGTATATTAGTGTTTTGATGATACAGATCCTCAAATACGTAATATGTAGCATTAAGTATCAATTCAGCACCTATATTGTTATTGTTCCATTGTTCATAGATTTCAATTGACCTCTCTTGCGTTTGAAGCACTATGGTCTGGTGAATCCAACGGCCTTCGGTGTACAATCGCCCTTTACGTCACTTCCTGGACTAGACAACATGTGTCTGACATGGTGGAGGCAGCTGTCAGTTGGTACCTAAACCAGCAAAGGGACTACAGTTATGGAGATCACTCTGACAAGCGTTATCATTGCAATATTTATATTTAAAGGAATCCATAGTCTTCAGTATTCAGATTGTGGTAATTTTTATTTCATGCTATCTTTCATTTCATGGATTGGAAATAGTAATAATTCTATTTTATTGTTCTAGTGCATGATATATTCAATACTGTAAGACTGTGAATCAAAGTTTCAAGAATAAATTTGCACAAAGTGTATAAATGTCGTCAATAGTTGTGAGCCAGTAGTTGCAATAATATTCAAAAGTGTTTATGTGGAATAAAATTCCTGATATACATAATTTTCCCAGAACGGCAATCTTTGGGACTCATATACGAGAAAACAGAAGCAAATTTCCATAATTGAGTTTTACTGTGTTACCAGGTTCGTCAAAAGCAGTGATCACCAGTGCAGATGTAGAGGATTGCCCAGGAAATGTTTGCAAACTAAAGAAAGGAACTAATGCTACTTTGCATTTGAGTTTTAAAACAGGTATTATAAGTAATAAACAGTTTTAAATAAAAGGAATCAAATGTGTGATTTAGTGTTTTCATAAGTTTGGAAAATGTTATGAAAACTCTAGACTTTTAATTTGTTAAGTTTTCATTCATTGAAATTAATTTCTAATTTTTAAATGCTTGATGCTTAATTTATCTCATAGAAGATGTTGTCGAAGATCTATCAGTTCGACTATATGGTATTTTATTGAACCACACCATGCCGTACCCAGGGCACTACCAGAAAGATGGTTGCCAGTCTGATGGTGTTTCTTGTCCAGTGCAGCCTGATACCATACAAAATTATACGCTAATTATCCCAGTACGCAAGAACTTCCCCAAGGTAAGTAATTCAAATTAGTGAAGTAAAAGTCAATCAACTGGCATTAATTACATTAAGAAACGATTAAATTTGTCGCGATCCGTAAAAATGCTAACTTCATGTATATTGATGTGCACAACCGGAGAACAACATTCCTATTGCTTTAGATGGCTCTAATGATCAGATAAACGTTTCTCAGAAGCAAAAACGTGCAGGTGAAATTTGGTTCAATTTTTTTTATTAAACGTTTTTTGGCTGCCACTGAATTCATATTTTGCCATTCATATTTTGCCAAACAACCCTTTTCCTTGTATTATTTATTGTTAATATTATTTAATCAAACCGGTGCTGTACAAAAATAATATCAATGGGATACAGTAATCAAAATGTATCACAAATTGTATTCACGAAAATAAGTATCTTCTACTAGGAAAGGCAAAACTAAAAAATTGTTAAAATAAGATAGTCGTTCAATGAACCACAAAAAATCGTTTCCAAATGGCACTAATTGTATACACTAAAATTTGATTACTAATTAATTACCACGCCTTATGAATTATTTTACACGAATGTTGGATTAGTATATTCATGAGGTTCCTGTTACGTTTCACTATATATCATGTCTTTTGTTCCCAAGAAAAGTAGCATTGCAAAAATTGATATTTTTTAGTTGATGTTGGGTTCAAATGTTATTTTGCTAAATAATTTTTGAGATTATCTTTTCTTATGGGCCTACGATCTAGTTTAACAAAACATTGTTTGAAACAAAATCAAATATTTTTTAATAATGCAACATATTTATAAACGTAAGTAATATGTACAATATCAGGTTCTATATACTTTTCTTTATAGCATACTACTTACATAGTACAGAGAAAGTGTTTAGCTGCTGCAAAAAATGCGATTTTTCGACAAAAAAATCTGATGTAACGGGGTTCTGATTCCGAGAGAGTAAATAATTCTTGTTCCAATATGTATCAAGTTTCTTCTTCTAACTCGTTATACACTTGGAATTCAGTTTTTTGGGTCCTTGAAAGTGAAAACTTACGGTAAAATGTCTATCCGTCCGTACAACACTATCTGCTATACCGAATTTTGGATTTTAATTAAAATTTAAATTCCCGATTGATTAATCTGATGTCGCAGCCCCTTAGATATGAAATGGATATTTTGGTTTTTGGTGGTACTTTACAGGAAGACTCAACAACGTTTAAAAATTTTTTCCAAAATGAATTCAAATTTTCAATTTAAATTTTATTCTCGACAAGAACAAATCACGCATATAAAGAATGGTGCACGTCTATTTTACTTTGAATTCTCTGAATTGCAAATTGCCAATGTTCATTTTGCCGCCACCTTCCTATAACCACAATATTGAAGATAGAGATTATTTCTTAGTAAAATCTGTTCTTCAAAGACAGATCTTTAAAAAAGGTAATGCACGGTTTCTCTAATCGGTATTTTTCTCATAATTTTGTATGCAATATAGGCAAACTTTAAAAATAAGATTTTCTCGAATGACTCCAGTTTTTTCTTTATTTTTTCTCGTGTGCACTAAAGAACGTTTATAAAAGTTACGCATTTTCGGTGAACTCCCTGCATTTTAAAAAACTGCAAAAAATTAATATTGTATACTAATATTAATAATAAGAGTTATTTTACTTAATGAAAACTGCTCTTCCAACTTATATCTGAAATATGAGTGGTTTCACGAAATTTTTGCAAATTTTTGAAAATGCAAATACGAATTTCCGCTGCGTAGTAGTTTTCCTCGGTCAGATCCATCTCCTCTGCGATAAGGCGTAGTCGGGACTTAGATATGTCACACCGTCGCACTCATTCGTCTGTTAAACAATTAGACCAGTTTGAGCGAGCTAGGATTATTTCGCGAAGCCGGGTGGTCCTTTCGGCGCATTGCTGACCACGTGGGTCGTGCTACATCGCCGGTGCTGGCGAAAATGGGTACACCAGCATTCCCATAGCCACAGACCCACTTCGCGGCGTCGCAGAGCACTGACGAACTTCCAAATTGACGCGCCGTGAGGGCAGCGTTGGCAGACCGTGGGGCCACCCGCGCCGAGATGCAGTCACACGTGGCCCTCATCGTGTCTCCACGCGCCGTTTGGATCTTGCTGCAGGATTAAAATCGCGCATACCGCTAGCCCGACTGTCACTCACACCGAAACATCTTCAATCGCGTCTGGCGTTGTGCATTGTGACTGGTCAGCTGAAGAGACGGAATGGCGTGCATCGGTGTTGAGTGGTGAAAGCCGCGTTTGGTTGCAACCCAGGGACGGTCGTGTGGGCGTGCGGTGTCGCACAGGCGAGCGCGTGTGTTTGGAGTGTGATCGTCAACGTCACGTAGGGCCCACACTGGGATTGTTCACGCTCGCCGATGGAGCTTGTGATGGGACATGAAGGTCCAATGCCTGACCCGTGCTGCGACCCCCAACTCTGCCTGCTCTGCGTGAGGCGGGGCAGTCGTCGTGGAACAGGGTACCGCAGGGCACTATTCGCCATCTGGGACGCCATCCCGCATCAGGGCTTATCATACTTCCCGCGGCGAGTACACGAATTGATGTGGCGTTTACGATCCATAGTTCTCGTTATTACTGGACGTGCAAGCCTCGCATGTTCTGCGCATATAATCATATGTAGTATTCTGTCGGTATGTGATGTATCAGTACGGAAGAATAAACTGTACAATGCAGGCAGGGTGTTGCAATACTTTTTTCGACCAGTGAATTACTTGAATGTTACTGACAAGTAAATCAAATTTCTGCAAGACAGTGTCATGGCGAATGCATTCCCAAATATAAGGGAGAACGTTTTAACAGTAGGGTACTTGACAATCATGTCAGACGCAGAACCAACCCATACTCTCGATAAAGTCTTTCATGTATTAAAATTTTTGCAGAGCGCAGCGTAAAACATGATTAACGATCTCGTGAACACTAGTGTGTAAAGTGTAATACATTGCAATCATGAAGTATTGTCGGGACCACTATTAGACGTCGTGATATTAAGGATACATTCTGCAGAGGACTACCGTTTATCGTCTGTGGCTACCTATAGTATACATAAAACACTTGACACTATTAAAAACAATAGTGTGCGACAAGCTATATTTTCCTCAATCGACAGTTTCACAGAAAACCGCGAGAAAACACACCACCCCAGCCCCGTTCCAGATGTCGTAGTCTGCTGTGACGCGACAGCCGGTTTGAATTTCGCGTCTGGTTGTAGCATTCAAACTCAAATTTTCGGGAAGGCATTTTTGCTTTCGGAAAAACTGAATCTGTCGTTATTCATAAAATCCAACAGACAGTCTGGGGTATTTTTTTACGGGAGCATGTACACACACGCACACACAGACACGCGCGCACACACCCGCGTGCGCGAATACGGCGGTATTCGAAATCTGAACTACGTCACAATGTGACCTGCCAAATACCAAAACATGATGGGTTGCCTACCAATCAGGGGCAAATTATTACCCATCCCCCTACGATAAGATTCATCTATGCCAATGAGGTGGGAAATGTTTACCTATTTTCTTATCTTCATACTAATGTCATAATTATTTCATTACATTGTAGGTATAACCAAATTCATGGCCGAAATGGTTGTATACTCATAGCTAAGCTATAAATCACCACAGGGCATTCATTATATTTTGCCAGCAAATTCTTTGATATTTCACTTTAGAATGTTTTTTGTTTTGATTTGTTGCAGGTTCCATCAGTAACAATAAAACTCGAAATTAATGACATAATATGCATTCATATTCCTGGTCAGGTAGCGTAACAATCGTTTCAGAAACAGAAGACATACTTCCTTCTCAACATATTGCAAATTCATAATTTCTATACAACAGAAATCATTTCAAAACAATTTTTTGTCAATATGTTATAAAAGATACACTTTGAAAAACTTGTGCAGTTTGAAAAAGGGGGAAAAGTTGAAATAGAGAGCAAATCTTTGTATTTTCAGAAAATTTATAAGATGACACCTTATTTTAGATTTTGTAAAATTATTTCAATTAAAATAATCTTATATATTCCATGCATGTCTACATTTAAAAAGTACAAAAGTTAATCTGAAAAATTGAACACTAATAAATAAAAAATTAATAATATTGCGTGTAAGTGCTATTTCTTTATTTGATCTGCATATTTAGCTCTGAACAAAATTAAAATGGAAGAAAAAAGGAATCAATTTTGAGAAAATGTCGAGAACATTGGGTGGTATGTTAACATACCACCATATAGAAATTATCTTTAAACTTGTAGAGCTAAAAGTTCAAACAAATCAAAGATAGGACACATATTTTGAAAAATATGCAAAGATTAATATCAGCTATATGTACTCTTCAGCATACATTATTAATTGTAATATAATGATTAAAATAAAAGTATATTTCAGTGAAGAATTATTACCTACCATACTTACTGTATCATTGTTAGGTACCCAAAATCATTTCTCTTCCATAATTTCTGTGCTTCTGACCAGGTGGCAGCAATGCAATTGATTCCCTGTCACTACATTCAACAGCTTTATTGGTAAAACTTCTACTTCTCATAAAGTCAGAAACTTAAATATTTGAATATACACAAGAATTTCTACAAGTGTGAACATGTTTGAAACTTGCTGTTATTGTTCTTACCAATTTATCTTAACCCTGAAAAGAAGATCCTAATGAAAATGGTTTTCAGTAAGCAAATGATATTCATTTCAAAACTTATTCAAATGTTTTGGAAAAAACCTTGTATACATTGTCTTAGGTAACTTGGAAAGGGTTAAAATTTGAAATTACAGAACAAAAACTATAAGTTTTTCCTCACAATACCCCTTACACCACATACAGTAAAATTAATCCGTATAGACCTTGTGGGTATTTATTGAATGCAAAAATTCAGATAAAAAATTAAAACTTCAATAAATTTGAAAAAATAATAAAATTGAATACAAGGTTTTAATTTATTATTTTACTTCAGTATTTGGCCCAAAGAAAAATCAATATTGGATAAAGAAAGTTACGATATTTGAAGAAATATTATAAACAAAGAAAAAAAATTAAATAATGTATGCACATTTTCAAATACAAATTTTCGGGAATCACACAAATATCTTTTTTAACTAATGTTTTAGAAAAATAAGAGCAAATAATGCAGTGTCGTTCTTTTGAATCCTGGAAATTATTTACTATAAAACACAATCTATTAAATGTAAAATAGTAATGTACTTCCTATTTGAATGGAAATTTAATTGAAAGATATAAGTAGATTCATTTCTACTTGTTTATGAGAATTTATTTGATAATACGATGAAATGAAAAAAGAATATTTTCATTTACATAGCTAGTTTATAACAGAGATACTCGTGTTTATGAAGTACCTCCATTAACTTTGGTTAAATCTCTTGATACACAGGCAGAGTCACTTCTTTTATCCCCTTAAGGTAAGTTCATCAACTTCACTCGAAATTGTCAAGTTGTATTGTTATTGACCATGATACATCTTGAATAGCAGTTTTTCTTCTAATACTCTGATATTGGATGAACAAAACAACATCTCATTGTGCTGCTGGATATCTTAAGAATAACTCGACACAAGATACAACTTCTTGTGGAACTCTCTCATACTCAATGCTGGAAAGTGTGAGGATGTTGTTGAAGGTACAGTCACTTCATATTATTTTGAATCATCCCTGTATCCTGTTGTTTGTAATCTTTGCTTTTATGGACTAATGTATTTGGCTTGTTTAGTTTACTTAAAATGCAAGAAATCTGAATGGAATGTAGGTAATTAAATATCAGTAATCATAAGATTGGCGCATCTCTTACACCTTCTAAAGACGTTTCACATTTATGAACTTTTTTGTACTTAAAGCCATTATAACCACACTTAATTATGTTTCAAAATACCATTCCTCAGGTTAATTCAATGTTCTCAAAGGATGATTTTCCATTCCTGTCCCAGCCATTAGTTGCCAGTTGAAACAATTGAGTATTCTTTTCATTCCTCCATTTTGCCACTTGTTGCAACTGCTCAGGTGCAGATGATCTCGGCCTTGCAGAGAATGGTTGAGAATTGCACCTAGATGATTCTGGGTACTCTGCAAAAATTATTACAATGTTAGCTTAGCATGTCATCTTTGCTTTATTACATACTACAGTGTTACGAAATAATAGTGCCTAATATAGATAAAAATAAAGTTGGTTTGTTTCATGAAAGGATTTCCTTAAGTATGTAGTATTTACAATGTTAAGTCATTTTTAACCATTGTTTTAACCAATATTTCTTGAAACACTATTCCTCCAAACAAGTTATATTATTAAATCTACACTTAATTTTGTTTTTGTTTTTTTTCAACTTCCAGTCCCTGAAGAAAAAATTATCATGTGTGAAAACTCAATGGGGAAACCTACATCAACCAACATTGCACCAACAGAAAGGCAAAGAAAGTAGCCTAATGCCTGATAATCTGCATTTTTAGAAATTCTGTGTTCATATTGCAGAATATTATTTTAATGATGACAACTTTCACCCATTTCTCAGCTTTTCTGCACTTATAAATATTCGAAACCTATTGCAAATAACAAGACACCTGACCTATTCAAGCTTGTTTACAGATAAGAAATATCATGAGATCAATCATTTTTCTTGTGGCTGATAAAAAACGAACTCATTGGTATTGAAACCAGTATTAGCCTCTTTGCAACGTCTCTCTTCAAACAGACATTTTATGCCACAAAACAAGTGTGTTCAAATAATACAAAGAATGATAGTGTGGTTTGAGCTACATAAACAAATAGGTAACTGTCCAAAACCTAGACATAAAATTGTCCAACATCAATACAATTCATACATTCATGATCTGTCATAATTACAATTTATGTTAGATAGTGTATCAACAAAATATCAGGTCCAGGTATTTTTAAATGCTTTTTCACATGAGAAGAATGTTGGACAAGTTTCATTTTATGAAATGTTTTAGATATTAATAAAAATTTTTGTAGATATTAATTACTATTCTATTATAAAACATAGATTTTAAAATTATATCTAAATGTTAATTACCTACTTATTTACAGTATTTCTATCTATACAACTACACAAATGATTGATGTTATATAATTTGTATTTATTAAAATCTAATCCAAAAGTATGATTACAAAATGTTAATCTTAAATTAATTTATATGGGTAGGTAAAGTATGTGACAGTAGTAGTAATAAGATCAGCAAACAATATTGAACACAGAACATTGTACATTCACAAGGAATAAAACAAATTTTTTTACATTGGCTAAACTTGTAATGAAGATTGTAAAAGATTTATTGAATATAACTTGTTGAATTAATTTAGCTGTTATAAAAAAAAAGATTTATGCTACAAATCTGATACAGAGAATATCCAAAGAAATAATATAACATTACTATATATTTTTTGAAAGTATTCATTCTCTGCAGTGTCATGATGCAAATTTTTCATACATCTGAACTTTTTTCGTTACTATTTGGATAGCATTATGCTAAGAGATTCTGCAAAATTATTTTGGTTCCGTGTATTCTTGTTGATTATTTCATTAATTAATTAATGCACTATGATCTCTTACATGGGAAAATAAAAGAATAATTTTTCAAAGCAAATAAAACCTATCCTAAAGTAATTGCTACTTTACCCTTAAATATTTTAGAATTTCTTTAAATTAAAAAAAAAAATCTTTTATGATTATCTTAAACATTCAACATTGCTCCACTAGAGCAATTCAAATCATGAAAAAGAAAATTGTTGAAAATAAGAATAAATAAGAGGTACTCACAGAATGACACTACACATTTATTTGAATGTCAAAAGGCACATGTCTTTTAAAATAGTTAACTAGGTACATTTAAAGTATTCACAATATCTGTAGCATTAAATGAAAATCAGTAGCTACTTTTCTAAGGAAATACCTATCAATAAATTTTTGCAATTGGGCCTGCTGATATAATTTTATAAAACACAAATATTTCTTGATATTTAATAACATTTTTTCCTCCATTCTGTTAAATTTAAAAGAATGATTATGATTAATTTTGTAAGTTTACAATTTGCTTTTGTAATAATTTGTATATTTTAATAGAGCAAGAAATTTAAATCCAGGGTTAACAGCTCATAAAACAAATTGAAGACAACTACTAACACATACATTTTATAAATTATTTGAACTTACATTCAGAAAAAAAATTTAGTTCTGCACTATGCTTATTTAGAGTAGATATGACTTCATCCTAAAACATTTTTATGAACAAAACCAAATGATTTACAGTGGATGTCATTCTCTCATCATCTCAGGGCTATGTTATTTTTCTCAGTGGAAGAAAATTTAAGGAGACACATAATTTCTATCCTTCAAAACATAGTAATAATTTCATACCCATCTCTGAATATAGCAAAAAACGGTTGATGAACTGAAGAAGAATTAACTTGGATGGTGGTGTTCCAGCAGAACATATAACTTTTCATATTTTACAACTCACAGAACTTTTCATATTTTTTAAAACCAACACTTCCCCTTCTTTGTCATGTAATTTAGCTAATTTCCCAAATTCTTACAAAGTGATAGATTAAAAGAGTTTCCTAAACTATTTATAAAATTTATATGCAATATGTTTATAATAAAACTATGATATGCAGTGAAATGTTTACTAAAGAGAACACATTATTAGTTTCAGTGTCAGATTATACGATTTATTTTATTTCATTTACTGTATTGTAAAAACTGAAAGTCATGTAGTCATGGTTTAAGTATAGTCTGCACATGTATTCTTGAGCTCCAGAATCATTACCCCATCCTTATAGCACATTTTAATAGTTACGACAAGTTCTTTCGAGAATATTCTTGAGAAACATGATTTCTGGATATCGTAGATATGACCGACCCTATATTAATTGTCTTTAAAGGCAAAGCAAATTTGCGGAGTTCTAAAAACTGTTTTACACACTCAAGTAGGCCTTTAATATTAGTAATCTAAATTTGCTCCAATTTTCAAGAGGAGCTTCAGAAGTTATGTGAAAAAACTCAAAATGTTCAAACTTTTCAATTTTTCTCAAATTCCTTCAAAACTAAACATTTAATCGAAATGTTCATTACTGTCAAAAATGTAAAGTGCAACATTTCCCGGCGATTAAGTACCAATACTTTGCAATGCGACAAAATATTCTGGTAAAAACGCTTCGCACAAAAACGCCAATTTTTCCATTTTCGAAAAACTGTCATTACATCTCCATAACATATCTATAAATTAGGGAAAGGCAGTTTCAATGTAGAACTACTACGGATAAATTACGGGACCTATTTTGCTCGGGAAGCGTTTTTCTCGGCCTTGTCTCGGCCTTGAGGACAATTCTTTTAGTATAACAATAAATATTGACAATAAAATGAGCAGTTGGACAATAAATGCCATTCGATTGTGCCATCCGAAGCATGGCCGGCCAGAGCTGAGCCAGAGAATTGAGTAATAGTATTATGCGGCATGAAGCAAATGCACTGCAACGAACACTTATTGTAGAGCATTTGCTGGCTTTGTTTCATTCTCAGAATATAAAGCAGATATGCACTTTTGTCGCACCTCAGCAGCAGTAGCATTGGATTTGCTGAGCATCCCTGCTGCTTCCTGCAGATGTTTGGTTTCCATGTCTCAGTGTTTTGCAGTTTTCCTGTATGAAAAATGAAGTTTCGCAGACACTGAATGCACGGAGAAGGAGCATGTTGCCTTTAGATTCTTGGGAAATCTTGAAATTTAAAGGGCTGTAGACAACACTGCCTTGTCTGCCATCGCCTGGCTTCAGTAGAAAAACGTTAGGGGAAACATTGAGGCTGAATGAGACAAAATCGCATGAAGACGAACGTTCTCTCCAAAGGCAACCGAATAGATAGGGAGTCAACTTCAAAAGTATCGACCGCAATCAAGGTATTGTCAACCAAAGCAACTTGACGTGCACAACTTCATGTCGAATAATCAATGAAGAGAAGAGGTGTAATCTACTTTGTTCATTCCAAAGAAACTTCTTTGGGTACTGTAATGGAAATAAAAATTGTTTCATCAAACATTTAATTTGGTACATTTTGTTTGGCGGTCCTGCACAGCCGCTCATCTGACTTTAAGTTCTCCCACTTCTCTCATCAGGGTTCTCATGAAACACAATTGTGTCCTTTTTTGCACTGCTTGACATATTCCGCATATTTTGCTAATATGAATCAATGTAGTTCTTTTGCCTCGCGTACCACTCTGGGAGAGAAAAAAAATCCTCATCCATGTCTTTTAAAAATAAACTTAGTCAGGGTATCAAAGAACTTGTAAAACTCAGATTTTGGTGTTTTTCACATACCTGGGTCATCAAACTTAGAGGTCGATGGACCAATTCACACAGAAAATATTGCATAAACTCTTTGATAGACTTCTTGTGAGACACATTCAGAAAAACATCATTTCAGCGTTTACACGAACAAGAAAGTCGTGAATTTTGTCTTGAGATAACATATTTTTTAGGTGTAAGACTCGACGTTTTCTTTCAAACATAACACTTCCAACGTTGCCATCAATGATCTTTGAAATGCCTAAATTCTCAATTCCATCAGCTTTGTGGCAATTAATATTTCCATCACTATCCCAATGTTAGAGGACATGCAGCTTCACAAACAGGAAAAGGATCATGTATCCTAGACCAGGCACACAAGTTGTTAGCATCCGCATTATCTCTTTATATTATTGCATTTCTAGCTCCCCATGCTGCTCGGTAGATTCCAATGAAACACCATAAAACTCGACATTGTCTAAGATATCAACTGCTGTACGCATCGAAGCAATCCATTTTGCCAGTGTGCTGTCTATCAATTTTCAGCCGTGCATTGGGCCACCAATACTTTTTATATTCAACGAATTAGTTTGTTCTATTGTCATGTCGGGTCAAATTCATACCAAAATATTTTCTGACCTTCGGATTGTGAACCAACCCTCAGTTACTAACTACCTTTTTTAAAAATGTGTTGCGTCATTGATGCAACCCTTCTTAAATCCTTGCTGGGCGTTGAGCACATGCGTGGAGTAATCTTCCTTTACTATCTTTG